CCTGTCAGAAAAGCATTGCTTCTGTGTGCTTTTGCAATTGTAGAATCAATCCTGTACTCCCTCCTCAAATCAAGCTAAGTCACTGTTTAAAATGGCATTGGAATTCACAGTTTACCAGGAAGTATCTTGCTAGCCCAGAGGGCTTCATGTGCCCTGGTCATTCAGAATGTCTAGAGTCTAGATAAGGGTCTGAGTTCATGAATAGTTTCTCAGTAGCTTGAGTTTACATGTCTAAGCAGACCTGGAGGTGGGTTCAAGTTACTCAACTAAAGTGTCAATACACTGCAATTAGAAATATTGTAATCTCATTGTATGATTGACTGACATTCCTTTATCTGTTCTGTATGTGATGACCTCAGAACCTTATTGTAATGTCTGCATTCTGTCATCAATTGCCCTGTACCTGTGACGTGACTGGGAGAGTATAAATGCCCTGTAATGGTACTGAAGCTTTGCAGCAGAATTTACCTCTGCCTGCCCGGTAATGCATTATCATGAGCACGGACCTGCGGGGAACCTGGGCCAAAACAATAAAGCCACAGATGGTCTGGACACTTGATCTTTCCCACGAACCCGAGTTTTATTTCCTCCTCACAAATTGAGATTCTGGCATTTTCTGACACATACTCCGCCAACTTTTTTTCCCAATCTTTGAAAAAAAAGATTGTTCTTTGAAAAAATAAATCTGGCATTATGTTCAAAAGCATGTTCTTAGGACTCATAGGAAACTTAGCCTTAAAGGTTTTTTGTATTTCTGCATGTATCAACTTCCAAAAACTTTTAATTATTTCATAGGTCCACGACATATCATAGAAAGTCCCATCTAGTTTATTACATTTCCAACATTTTCCACTGTAGTTCTTGTTTATTTTTTCTATATCTTTGGGGTGATATACCACTAAAAATACAAATTTTTCATATCCCCAAAGGTTATTAAGTCATTATTTTTCCTTAAGTATTTCCCATATGCTTCAACTGGGGATCATGGCTTTCTTTTTCTATAGATACTATTAACTAATTCATGCCAGTGTGACATCAATCACAGGACATCAGACTCACTGCCTCTGAAAACTGACATCTACTTTGGCAGCTATATACCACTCATCTGAGTGTTTATCTGTGAATTGACGTACATTTAGCCCCAAGACCAGCCTTGTAACAGATCTGTTTCCCAGCATCAGAAGGTTCCATTCATCCAGAGATTTTCCCTATCAAGTTTTTTGTGCAGAAGGAAGTATTTTGCTTCCAAGAAGCTTGGAATGGATGCATAGTGAAGTTGATCTCCCATTGACAGGAACAATGAATGACAAGGATGTTTGAGTGGTCTATTGTGCCAGTGATCAAAAGCAGAACACCACTTCTCCTAAAAAGGAAAAAGAAGAAGAAGGAAGTAACCTACACTGCTAACAAGGAAGCAAAAAAAGATTCCCAGTTACCAGGCAAAGAGGAAATCCAACCCGTTTAGTATTTTCTAATACTATTCATTCCCCCCACCCACCCATGCATATACCAGGTCTGAGTGAAAATTCTTCATCCTCTTTGTGTGGGGAAATGGAGTGGAATGACAGAGGGATGAAAAAGTAACACCGGAAATGCATTTCTAAAAACAATCAAGTCAGTACTGAAATATTAACATGGTGGAACCCGATTGGCAACACATTCCAGGGTTATGATGCTACTGCCCTCAGAAATGTGCATGTGAGAAGGATCCCTCTTCCTGAGTGTAAAGCAGGCAGACATTGGCGAAGTCCTTCAGTAATTTGGTTCCAAACTTCTTAAGGCTTTACAGGTAAGAACAACACTCTAAATTGGGACTAGTAACACAGAGGTAACTAGTGCAGCTGGTTCAGTATAGTCATTTATGAACTGAAATTCTCACATCTACCAATACTCAGGGGAGCACATTCTGTACCTGCTGAATTTTTTGACTGTGTCCAATGGCAGCTCCACAAACAGTACATTACAGTAGTCTACTAGCTCACTAGTGTGTGGATAATGGAAGTAAGGATCATCTTCTCCAGAAAGGGTCTCAGTTGGCATATCAACCTAAGCTGGTAAAATGCTTTTCTAGGCTCTATAGCCATCTGAACTTTTCCAGTTGGCACAGAATCCAACCCCAGATGCCACACCTAACTTTTTAGGGGAAATGTAACCCCATCTAAGACCAGCTGCACATCTTCATCCAAAGGAACTGGTTTCCCAGCCGACAGTAGCTCTTTTTAGCTTGTTTACCCTCATCCACTCCCCCAAAACTTCCACACACTGATTTAAGAGTTTGACAGTCTCCCTGGGATGTGTAGATGGAAATGAGAGGTAGAGTCAAGTATCATCTGCATAATGATGACACTTCAGTCCCAAATTCCTGATCATAGAATCATAGAATAATAGAGTTGGAAGGGACCATGAAGGTCATTGGGTTCAACCCCCTGCTGTTGCAGGATATCAACTTACACCATCTCACTCAGATGACTTTCCACACCAGTTTTAGGAGGGATAAGATGGAAGCTTGTGGCACTCCACCAGCTAATGGCCATAGGGTGGAATAGGGGACCCAACACCACTTTTTGAGTGCTTTTCAGGAAAGGCTGTAGCAACTTTAACACCACTTTAAACTCAGTACAAATAACTGATCCAGAAGGATGCCATGGTCTATGGTACTGAAAAATGCTGACAGGTTCAGAAGAACAGAGTTGCTTTCACCTGATCCATCCCCTGATGTAACTTATGAACCAGAGTGACCAAATTTGAAACCTGATTGAAGAAGATCTAAGTCATCAGGATTATCCAATACTGCTTAGGGTTGTGAGACCACCACTTCCAACAACTTACCCAAGGATAGCAAAGTTGGCACAGCAGAGTAGCTAGCCAAAATCATAAGATCTAAATTTATTTTCTTCCACTAGGGGCTCACCACTTCTTTCAAAGCTATGAGAATCTCACAAGGAAACATTGATTACCAAAGAGCTCCAGGTATCCAGCCCAACTCCATCCAGGTTGTACAAGGCTTTAAAGAACAAGTTGCAGTTCTGAGTCCTCCATGTACTTTGTATCCATAGGTGCACAAGCTGAAAGTTACCTACAATATGATTAGATGGTGCATCAGATTATGGCAAAGCAACAGCTTCCATGTTGGCATGAATACAAACTACCTTAAGGGGCGGCATAGAAATGTTATAATAATAATAATAATAATAATAATAATAATAATAATAATAATAATAATAAATATATAGCAAAGTGTTCACATAGGGCTTTTGAGGGCTTGAACCTAAACCCAGGAGCCCTTTAATCACACTAAAGAGCTCCACTGCATAACATCAAGCTGATGTAATGATGGCGAAGTAGTATTTCTTCACCACCATCACAGGTGCAGAATAAGATCACATATGGATTCCTGTCTGTGTTTGTATTTGTTATGGGTTTTCTGCCATTTGTATGCTAATAATTACAGCCGTTTCATGCTCTTCAGTTCCTTAGAATACCATGTTTCATGATCTAGGACTTTCCAGGGTCTCTGAAGCCCTAATTTCGTGTAGATCTCTGCCTGTCCTCAAAACTTATCTGCAAGTTCATGCAACTTGCAAAAGCGATATGGTATCCTTTCCCGAGCAGATTGCTGACCAGGAAGGGAGAGGAAGAGGGTATCAGAGAGAGAGAAAAATAAAAAGGTATAAGAGGGAAATAAGTGGGTGGCAGAGAGACAGAGAAATTGATGGCCCCATGACCTTTTTTCCTGTGGTTTTGATCCTGTTCAACAATGACATGTGGTCCGCAACAGATGACTCCTGATAGAATCTGGGTACCTCCTGCTCAACAATGACATGTGCCCCCCATGCTCCCTATTACTCATCTGGCCACTAAATCATGATGGCTCTTAGTGTAGTTTTCACTGTTTATGTGGTACAGAGGATTTTTTTCTTTCGGGGGGAGGGGGTAGAATAGAGCAGGGAGGCACACTGAACAATCCCAAAGACAGATTTGGGATTTTTCTGAGTGCTGAAACTGTAGCATTTGACTTGTTGGTTGAGTTTCACATGCACTAGCTTTGTCACATGTGAATCTTGTTAAGACAGGGTGATACACAGAAGAAAAAATAAAGTTTTGGTGAGAATGTAATTTTTCATTAGTTCAACCTTCGCATGTGAAAAGCCCCCTTGGATTTCATCTTTGCAGAGTAGGCAATATGCTCAACATAAGCTTGGAGCCTAACAATATATATCAGATCATATCAAGGGTTGTGAACTCATACAAAATATTAATGCTTATTTAGACTAAATTGACTACTTCTGGTGATTTAAAACTTTTTGCTGTATCGGTGTGGTGCCAGTAGTATCATTTATTATGAACTTGCCCATATGTTATTAAAGTACATAGGTTTGTACTGTACTTGGACTTTGCCTACTCTACTTCAAACCATATATCAATTTAGGACATGGTTTCCATGTTCTGCAGGTTGTGACTGGGTCCTGTCCAAGGTCAGGCTGCTACAGCCTCTGAGTGTATGTCTGAATAGGGAATAGTTGATTCTTGATGTATGTGTGTGTGCCTGTATGTGCGTATGTTTTGAGACTCTTGTAAGGCTGGGAAGCATGAAGGTTTCACTGCATGGTTTGCTCTCAAATGATAACACGATGCACTTAAAATGGAAAGCCACATACCCACAAAAGGATATTCTTGGCTTCACAACATATTTGGCAGCCATTGGACAATATTTGACTGGTTAATTGACTGGCATTCCAGGCTTAATAAAGACATGCTGTGCATTAAGAAACATCTCACATGTGAGTGATGCCTGAGTTGCAATTTCATAAATGGACCTGTTTGCCTACCCAGCTCCTATAGATAGCGATGGTATTCCACAGCATATCTCTTCTGATTCTTTTATGGTGCTGAGTTTTTATAAGGGATTGGCTTGTAGTTCTCAGGGAATCAAGATAAGGAACTGAACAAGATGTGCTGCTTCAAATGCTGTGTTTATTATAAAAAGTGGAAATATAGCAGATCACAATAGCCAGCTAAATATAGTCATGGATTAGAAAGCTATTGTTTCCAATCCAGCTATATACAACTGAGACTCTCCAAATGGAATGCCACTTGACCTTTCATGTTCTATCAGCCAGTGCTTGCAGTATTTAACTGAAGCTGGGACAAGAGATTGCCCTTGGAGATGTCCAGTGTTGACATGACAGACCCTAGTATTTTGTCTCAGTCATGTTTAGGAGACACAAGCCTGCTTCGGAGCACAAAAGAAACCATGGCATCCATGGATCTGCATTGTCCATGCCTCATAATGACATCAGAACTTTCTTCAATTTGTCCCAGCTTGTACTCTCTGCTGGCCATCTGAGACCACCACCACTCTTAAGGCATTCAAAAATTACTTACTTTGAAGTAGAGATTCTTGATGCCCAGAGCAAAAAGCAGATCTGTGTAGTAGACAAGGTATGTGTCTCTGTGTGAATGATTACTTCTGTGGCACTCTGTGAAACATAAGATCTAGTGGCATGGCTTAGAACTTAGCTTTGTTGTCCATAAATATATAACTTTAATGAAAAGATCTGCAATATCTTTTTTATGCAATGTGTTTGTAGTGCTTTAATACATTCTCTCTTCACATGCTTTAGAATTACAAATGCTTCCGAATAATCCTACTGATTGATTGTCAGATTCAGATTGTGGCATTTGTTTGGGTTCAGGTGTTTGTAGCATATGTTTAATGTTCTGTGTTAGATAAGATATATCCCCATTCCCCAAGGCATTTATGAAAAACCCACTTTAATGTGGCACTGTGACTTTTAGACAGGGTTGAATCCCAGACAGATTGATGCTCACATCCTTGCCTTTGAACATGGAATGTTTTTTACTGTAAGCTTCACAATCCACCCAACCCTTGAAATGAAAGTTCTTACCTTAATGTGGATTATATCTCATATTTTTTCACAATGTTAGGCTTCTATTTACCGAATGTTATAGGATCATTTACAGAACGGTACCTCTTGGAGCTTCAAGGAGGCAGAACAAATTTGTGCTCCATGAAGTCCTCCATTACAGATGTTGAATATTCCATGCAGTTGATATTTGAAAGATATCATTTCATATTTGACTTCCAGGATGTGATTGTGTATTGGTACAGTGCAATCCTGTGCATATTTTTTGTAAACAAAAAGTTCATTGGGTCCCTCTATCTTAATTATTTGTTAGCTGAGTGTAAACTTTCAGTAATAGGTGACCTGTTTGTATCACTCTTTAAAACCAGTTTTATATAGATGTGGTCACCATTACCTGGAAGATAGCTTGCAAATTTTGAGAGAGAAGGATGATAATTTGTATTGTACTTCAGAATGTTAAAAATAGTTTACATTTACTATCTTGTTGTGAGCTTTGCAGCAACCTTGTGACTCAGTATTAACACTCTTACTTTATTTATTTGTACTATTTATCTACTGCTAAGTATATATTTTGAAATTCCTATGTGGTTTTCATATAAAATTGAAAACCATAATTAAAATCACATTTTAGATAATTTTTAAAAGTAGTGCAATATGAGACAGTAACAAACAGTAATATAATCACCCTCTCTATAATACCGAGTAGTAGAGGACCAGTAGAATAATGCAATGTGGCTGTATTATGGGCCAGGGAAAGCCTGTGTGATCAGGTGCATTTTTAGGAGGCATCTGAAAGATACCCAATTTCTGCCCCAAGTTGAAGGGTTTGACAGAATGGCTTGCCTAAGGCCATCTTGTAAATTCACAACAACTGTGAAATGTGAACACAGTTTAAAATAAAAGGCAAGGCCTGCAGATATTTGAGAAATGAGATAGCTGACAAAGACCATGGTATGGTAAGCACTTGTCCAGTGGTTCACATTACTGCATGTACATTAGGTAGTTGCAGTCCTTACAAGGTAATTTAGTATTGTGGCTCATGTCACAGATGGGGGAACTGAGGCTGAAAAGGTGACTGAAAAAGTCGGCTTACTTAAATTTCTGTAGTGAATTTTTACTGGGGGTGAATGAGAACCAGGGATTTCCTAATTCATCACTGAGTTGCTTGGGCACCATACGGGATCTGTTCTCTCAGTGAGGTTTCTAGTAGGTGTTTTCTTTCTGTGTGCACTTGGGTGCTCAGGTAGAGGAGCTGTTTTGGTACTCTGCATGCCTCAGGAATTCATGGCTCCATCTGTTTGCATGGAGGTGAGCAAAACATACTGTCAGGGAAAACTCCTAAGCTGTGGAAGGGGGAAGCCATACTTCTGCCTCTCCCCCACCTGACCCTATACAAAGTAATGAGTGGCTTGCCTCCATTAATTTGCATAGCAGTGGGTAGAATGAAGCTTCTGCATCTTCAGAGCTGGGGGAAGGGATTGCTATTTTCTGAGCCTTCAAGTTGACTCGGGAAAATTGCTGGTGTCTTTGTGCAAGGGAGCATTTGTGAAGAAGTCAGCTGATTATTTCAAACTTAATCTGAAGGCAGTTTTGTAATGCTATTTGCAGAAGGGACCACCATTTTCACAGGCAGTGCACTTGAGAATACCAATACCTGGGGGCAAACAGGGAAGGAGGCTGTTGCCTTCATGTCCTCCTAGAGCAGGAGTCCTCAAACTTTTTCAACAGGGGGCCAATTGAAAGGTGCCAGTGATGGGCACGGGCCGCCAAGGCTGTGCAGGTGGGGGGGGGGGGCACCCACGCACATGGCAAGGCAGGGGCAAGTGCACACAGAGAATGTTTTCTCCAAGTGAGTCCAAAACTATCTCCTTGTGAGCAAGCCAGCGCACGGCGAGGCACCGGCTTGCTCACAAGGAGTTCATTTTGGACTCACTCGGAGAGTCCAAAACCTCTATGGTGGGCTGGATAAATGGGCATAGCAGGCAGGGTCCAGCCCACGGGCCGTAGTTTGAGGACCCATGTCCTAGAGGCATCTGACTGTATACTGTGGGAAACAAAAAGTTAAACTAGAAGTGCCTTTCATCATTCCAAAGAGCCTTTTTAACAGTCTGAGCAACTTCTGTTGGCACATATGTTTCAAATCACATTTTTCCTTGTCATGTAGAGTAATTTGGAAATAAAGAGAATAGATTTGGTTAAAAATAAAAATGTTTCCACAGAGCTAATGGGCTAACACAAATGTGATTTTATATTATAAACATTAAGTCTGGTATTTTCAGATTGTACTTTTATATTTATCCTTTGTGAATGCAAGGAATACAAATCAGGGAAGTGTAATTCCTTGCTTGACCAGATGATTGCCCTGGGGGGTCGAGAGGGGCAAAATCATTTATATTATGATGGCATTTGGGAAGGTTCAAGTGTTCCATCTACTGTTGCCGAACTGAGCAAAACAACAGAGGATTTTTTTTTCAAGGCTGTGGCTGGAATGAGAAGACGATTGAGATGGTGGTTGAAAGGGAAGGTTTCCTGTGCACCATGGTGCCAATATGTGATGGCCCTCCCCAGCAATAGTATTTATTTTTCAAAAACCATAATGACTCAAAATCACATGGTTATCATCACACGCCCTATCATGGATCACTGCCTTGCAATGGTGAAGGGGTGTAGCACAATGAAGCTATGAGCCATGCCCTGCAGGGACACCCAAGACAGACAGGTCATAGAAGAGAGCTCTGACAAAACGTGATCCACTGGAGAAGGAAATGGCAACCCACTCCAGTATCTTTGCCATGAAAACCCCATGGACAGTACCAAAAGGCTAAGAGATATGATGCCGGAAGATGAGCCCCTCAAGTGAGGTGTTCAGTGTGCTATTGGGGAAGAGCAGAGGGCTAGTACTAGTAGTGCCAGAAATAATGAATCGACCGGGTCAAAGCCAAAAGGACTCTCAGTTGTGGATGTATCTGGTGGTGAAAGGAAAGTCCAATGTTGCAAAGAACAATACTGCATAGGAACCTGGAATGTAAGATCTATGAATTGAGTTAAGCTGGATGTGGTCAAACTTGAGATGACAAGACTGAACATCAACATCTGAGGAATCAGTGAACTAAAATGGACAGGAATGGGTGAATCTAATTCAGATGACCATCAGGTATGCTACTGCAGGCAAGAATCCCTCAGAAGAAATGGAGTAGCCTTCATAGTCAATAAAAAAGTAGGAAAATCAGTACTGGGATTCAATCTCCAAAGTGACAGAATGAACTCAGTTCGAATCCAAGGCAAACTATTCAACATCACAGTAGTCCAAGTCTACGCTCCAACTACTGATGCTGAACAGGATAAAGCTGACCGGTTCTATGAAACCCTACAACACCTTCTAGAATTAACACCAAAACATGATGTCCTTACCATCATGGGGGATTGGAATCCAAAAGATAACTGGAATAACAGGCAAGTTTGGCCTTGGAGTACAAGATGAAGCAGGACACAGGCTGGTAGAATTTTGTCAAGAGAATACGATGGTGATAGCAAACACTCTTTTCCAACAACCCAAGAGATGACTCTACACATGAACATCACCAGTCGGTCAGCACAGAAATCAGATTGACTATGTGCTCTGTAGCCAAAGACAGAGAAACTGTATACAGTCAGTAAAAACAAGACCAGGAGCTGACTGTGGCTCAGACCATGAGCTTCTGGTTGCAAAATTTAGGGTTCAATCGAAGAAAGTGGGGAAAAGCACTAGGTCACTCAGGTATGACCTAAATCATATCCCTGATGAATATACAGTGGAGGTGACAAATAGATTTAAAGGATTAGATCTGGTAGACAGAGTGCCTGAAGAACTATGGATGGAGGTTCACAACATTGTACAAGAGGTAGCAAATAAAACCATCCCAAAGAAAAAGAAATGCAAGAAAGCAAAATGGCTGTCTGAGGAAGGTGGGTGTGGGCTTGGGTGGACTCCGGGAGATGGGGGAGGACAGGATAGCCTGGAGGAATGTTGTCCATGGGGTCGTGATGGGTCAGACACAATTTTGCAACTGAACAGCAAAAATTGATACAAAAGTTTCTCAATGGCATGCTAGCTGCTTTCACCCCCAGATAAAGCGGTAGTCTGCAATATTAATCCAACAATTTTCCCTCAGAACTAGAGCTCTGCTAGAACCCATCAAGGCTCCTCCCAGCTAACAGCAGCCAGGGTGGGATGGATTTGATGGGAAAGGGAGGAGTAAGACTCCTAAAACTATAGTTCTCATATTTTTATTTATTCAGGGATAAAATTGACACTCTGCCAATGCTGCTTGGCTAAAAATTTTGTAAGAAGATGTCTGCAAAAGAAAGTGAAAAATTGCAGATGAGCACCTTGTCTTTAAAGACAAATGGACTATTGAATACTTTGTTATAAACAAGGATAAATCAGTTTGCCTGATATGCCTTGAAATTTGTCTCAGTGTTAAAGAAGTACATTGTTACAAGGCACTTTGAATCCAGTCACAAGAGCTACTCAATATATCAAGGAGAGGTGTGAGTGAACAGGATAAATTATCTTAAAAAGTCAATGTTTTTGCAGCACGTTTTAGAAAGCATGTTGAGAAGAACCTGTGGACAGTGAGGGCCAGCTAGCATGTTGCTGAATATTGCTTAGCTGAGAGTGGCAGGCCATTCACTGATGGTGAATTTGTTAAGAAATGCATGGTTAAAGTAATGGAGGAACTGTGCCCTGATAAGGTATCTTGTGCTAGTTTCCTGTGTCAGTTTTCTGTAATTACAGTCACCAGGCATGTTGAAGAACTAGAAGAAGAGCTGCCATGTCACTGATTGTCAAGACAAAATGTTTTGATTTTTTCCTTTGGTATTAGATGAGAGCTATGACATTGTAGACACTGCTCAACTACTAATATTTATCAGGGGGAAAGATTCCAACTTCAGAATTACAGAAGAATTGTGTGCACTGCAGAGTTTGAAAGACACTACAACTGCATAAAACATATTCTTGAAGGTGTGTGAATCAGAAGAAAACTTTGATCTGAGTTGGGATAAGTTGAAAAGCATCACAACTGATAGTGCAAGAGGTGTGATGGGAAGTAAAACTGGTGTAGTTTCAAGAATCAATGAAGAGATAGTGAAATTAAGCGGCACATTTTCCATGCAATTTCACTGCATCATCCATCAGTAAGCCTTGTGTACGTAGTAAGATACTTCAGTGGGAAAGTGTGATGCATACTGTTGTATTCAGCATTAGCCATCAAGTGTCATGGCTTACTCATCACCAGTTTCAAAATTGAAGAAAGTTGGGAAAAGCACTAGACCACTCAGGTATGACCTGAATCATATCCCTGATGAATATACAGTAGAGGTGACAAATAGATTTAAGGAATTAGATCTGATAGACAGAGTCCCTGATAATGGATGGAGGTTTGCAACAATGTAAAAGAGGTAGCAACTAGAACCATCCCAAAGAAAAAGAAATGCAAGAAAGCAATATGGCTGTCTGATCAAGCTTTACAAATAGCTGAGGAAAGAAGGGAAGTGAAAGGCAATCCTTTAACCCACCTTCCCCTCTCCTTTTTGGGGATTGGCTACAAAGCCAACTCCCCATCTGGGTCCATCACATCTGAAAGGTAGGTTCCTACCATTGTAGAGCACGTATATAAAATCGAGTTTGAAACTTTGCCGCCTTCAGGTCTGATCCGATATACAGCAGCCTCTCCAGCCCTCCTCAAAGAAGTCACTGAGCTGCTTTGTAAGGGAGCAATTCATAAACTGAATCACTCTGAAGGACTGCATGGCTTCTACTCCAGGTACTTTACTACTTAAGAAGAGCAGTGCTAGATCAGACCAAATGCTTATCTAGTTTCTGACATTCTGTTCCACAATGGCCAACCAAATACTTCTGACAAGGCTATAACAAGGATATAATTTCTGACAAGGATATGAGGACAATAGCACCCATCCATTAGTTTATATTTTCATGCACGGAGCTTTACGGTTGTGCATCCAAACAGCTATATGTACTACAGCACACTGCAGTGTAACAGCTACCTAGAAGGCCTGAAAATTAGAAATGGCAAAGATCTATTGCTTTCACTTCTCTTGAAAGAAAGCATGGTACCAGCTTCTAGCTGTTGAATTCCACCTAAACTTGTAAAACATATATTTCAGTAATTTATTATTATTTTATCAGATATTAAACTCATATAGATACCAGTTTACAGCTGAAAGATGAATTGAACCTGGCAAAGCCTCCAACTAAATATTGCAAATATTTTATTATTAATACTTATTTTATGGTAAAATATGTATTTAAATAAGAGTTGTCATTTGGATCTCATTGAAAGACCTCAAGAGTTAATATTCACATATCTCTCAGGTTCCACCACCTTAATCCTGCATATTCCCGTTCAAGTCAAAATCTTCTGGAAGATTAAAGAAAACATACTGAAGGCACATACCTCCTAATTTTAAACTGACACATCACTGTGATGCTAGCTAGTACAGGTTTTTATCAGGCTGGCTGGGGTTGTTTGGATTGGCATGCTGTTCTATTTCATCTAGTTCCCTATAATTGGAGCCTGACTGCTATTGTAAAAATACCCTAAAAAGAGTCCAACAGATACCAATGCAGTGGAGAGGACGTTGAAAGACTACAAAACAGCAAACTTCTCCATTGTGTAAATTAATACATGGGGCCCAATCTAGCCAAGACTATGTGCTATTAATTCCATTGGTTATAATTGAAATGATTTATTGTTAAGTTATCTCCCACTGAAAGCAATGGGGCTACGAAGTGGCCAGCTTTGGCTAAGTTATGCCTATGGAGTGTAAAGTGGTTCTGGACTCACTTCTTGCTTTCCTTTTGTGGATATTAAAAAGCTCAAAAGCCTAGCAGAGTTAAAAGGGAAAGTTTACAAATTTCTTTTTTCTTCCTGTCCACTTTTCAGATACCACCATCATCAACGCTACTTGATGTAAAGCATAAGTTTCACAAAGTATGTAAGTATCTGGAAGCTTTTTGTTGGGGGGAAAACTGGCGGTGTGTAAAAAACAAACTGTGTGAAAGGAATCCTGGCATATTGTGTGAGTGACTTTGTCAGAGGATGCAAACATTAGGACATCTCAATTTGTTCTTGCCACACTCATCAATGGTGATAAGCTTGTATAAGCATAATCCAAATTCATATATTTTATAAACAAAAAGCAAGTTAATCACCAATATGCAGTGTTGAAAATGAAGGGCATTATTTAATAATGTCTTTCTCAGTTGCTTTTACAATAATACACTAAAACTGAATAATCAGGTGTGCTTTTGATTATTATGTTGCATTTACATTCCACCTTTTTTTCTCTTGCATGGAACCCAAAGTAGCTTACATAAATCTACTCCACTTCATTTTATCTTCACAACAACAACCCTGTAAGGTAGGTTAAGCTGAGATTCTGGCCTGAAATCACCAAGTCAGCTTCATGGCTGAATGGTGACTAGAGATCGGATCTCACAGGTCCCCAATCTAACACTCTAACTACCAGACCACACTGGCTCAGTGACTAACAATTAAAATTGGCCCATGCCATTTAAACAGTTATAGCTTGACTTGTGTTATCTACCAAATAAGTCAATTTAAGTCTGCATCCCTAGTTGTTTTGCCACTTAATATTAATAAATTCAGTGTTTTCCATGAATTTCAGATCATTTGTAATGAGGGGAAAAAGCTTTGCCTTTGCCTTTATGGCTCAAACAGGCATTTCTTTAAATATATGTCCAGCAACTTCCTTTTTAATTTTTTTTTTTATGCAGACCCCCTTACCAGCACTGGGACTCCGACATGGCTGGGGGGGGGGGGGGGTTAGGGGACCTTTTAAGATCTGGATCAGGTCCCTATACCTACTCTTGAGTAAAAGTGAAAAGAAGACACAGATGTCTAGAAACATATTTAAACCAATAATTCTTTTGGCTTCACATGTGCACATGTGGCATCTTGCTTATATAATCTATTTCTCTTTGATCATCTTTTGTGAATGACTGCCTGTTTTACTACTGTGAGCATCTCTGAGCAAAGCAAATCTGACTGGGCACAGTCCAACAAAGTGAAGCACATCTGTCTCATTGCTTTTGCACAGCTCTCCCTGCCCCACATTTAAATTCGTGATACTTAAAATATGATTCATTTTCACTGGGTCGTATTCTCTGTTTTTTTCCTCCAAAAGAAGGATCCAGATGGTTGAGCTCCTTTTTAGGAATATCTTCAGGCTGTGGGGCAATGAAATACAGGGTTGTCAAAATGATACCATTATCTCACTTGTTTGTGATTGTTCTCAGACACCTGATCTCCATCCACCTTAAGCGAGATTTAGAGTGACCTTTGCTATTTAAGGGCTGCATAACCTAGAAATTCACTTTCATAGGACATGCTTTACCTCTTCAATAGGAAAAGCATTTTTTTTTTTAAAGTTGGGTATTAAAGCCAGCTTCTGTGATGAGTTTGTGCTGAAGTTTTACATTTCTTCAGTTTCCATTTCACTCTCAGTGTTTTGAAACAGTGCAAAATGAAAATTCCTTCAAGAACAACATTCTTTGGGTAAACAGCACAATTCTAGCCACAACTCTCCATCTCACCACTTGAAAAAATGAGGCTTGCAACAATTACTTTTCAGTACAAATGCAGGGGCTATAAGACACAGGCTCACAGCCAAGGTTTAGAGGAGATAAGGCTAATGTTAGTTCAGAGGACTCCTTTGTCAGTTTGACAATGCTAAAACAAGAATTGTTCTTTCCACCCTTTCTTATGCTCATTTGGCAACAGGCTAATTCTCCTTTCCTCATTTTTTTACTTGCTGTCATAGAGGCGGTGCAGCTGCTCCACAGTTCTGGATTCTCTGGATCAGCCTTCCTGCAATCTGGCTTCCTTTAGATATTTTGGATTACAGTTTCCACCATTCCTCATCATGAGCTATGCTGGTTGAGACTGATAGGTGCTGAAGTTAAAAACCAGGTTGAGAAAGGCCGCTCAGGCCATACAACCCCCTTCTGCCATCACAGGTTAACTAAGAGTTCTAGTGGTGTTCTGGTTAACAGATGGCTGTGAGGAAGCAAACTTCCTGCAGTTCAAACTTGCTTTGTTGCTGGGGCTGGTGTTCTTTCTGTAGAAGGGAGAAGATGCAAACTCCCAGCAGCTCTTAATTATCTGGCCAGGACAGATGCCAGATTGACTCCTCCTCCCTGAACTATAGTAGAACCAAATTTCTTTTTGAAAATTTTAATTTTGGCTCTTGCCTCTTGGCAGAGTTGCAGAGAGGCAGAAGCACAGACTGGGAGAGAGTGCTGAGTGGCCAGCGGACTGGTAAAGGCAGGGTAGGAGCTGGGCGGAGTAGCAGAGGGCCAAGAGCAGCAGAGAGGAAGGGAGGCGGGGCCAGAGAGGCTAGAGGGGCCAGGAGGAAGCAGAGGGGTGTGGCCACCAGCCTGAGAGGCTTATATGGTATTGTCCCTTGTCTGCATCCCTTAGCTGTGGCCTGGGCTGTCTGGGGACTCCCTTCCCTGGGAGGCTGAGGGTTTTGGGTTTTTTTGTTTTGTTTTGTTTTATTGCTTTGTTTTTGTTTGTTTGTTTTTGTCTTGGTTTGTTTTGGGGGTTTTTTTGTGTGCTGTGCTGTGCTGTGCTTTGTTTTTCCTCCAATTTAAATTTTATCCTTGTGTGTGTGTGTGGGTTTTTGTCTGGGAGAACTGGGTGAGTGAGGGGTACTGCAGGACAGACAAGGGGAGGGGGACCAAGGTAGGGTCTCAGAAGAGTTCCCAATGGCAGACCAGGAGATGGCCTTGGCAGGAGTCACAGGTGTTGCTGTCCGCTGCGACAGCTCTGACATGTTCGCCCTTTTGCCCCAGGAGATACAGGGATATACTTGCCCTCGGTGCAAGCTGGTGGTCCTGCTAGAGGAGGAGGTGAGGTGCCTGAGGGCCGAGAGAGCTCTCCAGGCCCCCTGGGAGCAGCCCCCCTCTGGACAGAGGGTCAAGGGAGAGGCCACGGGAGGAGCAGCCGGGGAGACATGGAGACATGTCACCCAAAGGAGGAGGAGGCCAGCATGGCTTCCTCCTTCTCCTGGCATCAGTCTGGAGCTGGGAAACAGGTTCTCTCCACTTGGGGAGGATGGAGCTGATGAGGCCTCGGGGGACCAGCGGAACCCCCAGCCTGGGACGACAAGCGGTAAGGGGCCGCTGCAGGAGAGGCGAGGGGTAGGGCACGGCCACCCACCACCACCAGGAAGAAACGGCAGCGGGTGATTGTTGGGGACTCCCTGCTGAGGGGCACTGAGGCGGCGGTGTGCCACCCCAACCTGGAGACAAGGAAGGTTTGCTGCCTGCTGGGCACACGCATCTGGCATGTGAAGGACAGAGTGGAGTGTCTTGTTCGCTCCGGGGGTCACCAGCTGCTCCTGGTGATCCATGTGGGCACAAACGACATGGCCCGGCAGGGTGTGGTCAGGATCACCAGGGACTTTGAGGCCTTGGGGAAGAAACTCAGGGAGCTAAAGGCCCAAGTGACCTTCTCGTCAATCTTACCAGTCTGGGGATTTGGGCCAGGCAGGGACAGAAGGATCTCCGAGGTGAATGACTGGCTCAGGCTGTGGTGCCGGAAGGAATGCTTCGAGTTACTCACCCACGGCACCCAGTTTCTTGCCAATGAACTTCTGGCAAGGGACGGGTTGCACCTCACGATGATGGGGAAAAGGTCCTTTGGAGATGCTCTAGTGAGCTTCGTCCGGAAGAAACTGAGCCAGTGGGGGTAGGTTCAGGCCTCCCAGAAACGTGTCTGCACTGGACAAGTGTGGGGAGAAGATCAGGGCTCTGGGAACAGGGTTTTAGAGGTACTACAGGGATTGACAGGGCTCCTACAGAGAGGGGCCAGGTATCAGAGAGGATGGGAGGAAGGAGGAGGCTGGGAACTCCAAGGAAAGGAAGCGGTGGGAAGGAGTTGAGGTGCATGTACACTAATGCTAGGAGCATGGGTAAGAAGCAGGAAGAGCTTGAAGCTCTCCTGGGAATAGGAGGGTATGACCTGGTTGGAATCACAGAAACTTGGTGGGATGAAAGGCAAGACTGGAATGTGAACATAGAGGAGTATCACCTTTTTAGAAAGGACAGGAAGGGAAAGAGGGCTGGGGGGAAGGGATAGGATGCAGTGAGATAGAATGTAGCACAGATGGGGATTCGGTAGAGGCAGTCTGGGTGAAACTTTGGGGTTTTGACAGGGAAAGAGACCTGACAGTGGGGGCATGTTATCACCCTCCAGGTCAACTTGAGACCCTGGATGATGTCCTGACAGACCAGATTCTAAGGATATCCTGGGGGAGAGACACAGTAATTATGGCAGATTTCAATCTCCCGGATATTAGTTGAGAGACTCACTCGGCGGTGACAGTCAGGTCACGTCACTTCCGAGAAGCTATAGAGGGAGGATTTTTCACACAGAGGGTCCGACAGGTGATGAGGGGGGGAAACATCCTTGACTTGGTCTTGACCAATAGGGAGGATCTGATAGATGAAGTAGAGATTAGGGGAGCTCTGGATGCGAGTGATCACTCCATCCTTTGCTTTGAGATCAGGGGACTGGGGACGTGCAGCAGGTTGAGCACTAGAAGCTGGGACTTCAAGAGGGCCAACTTTGGCCAACTGAAGGCCAGACTGGGGAAAGTCTCCTGGGATAGGTTACTGGAAGGGAAGCAAGGGAGGTTTTGGAGGCACAAGCCTTGACGATACTTCTAGTTAGTAAGGTGGGGAGGTGGAGGAAAGTGCCACCATGGATGCAAGAGGAGGTGCTTAGAGGGATTAGATGAAAGAGGAACCTCCGTAGGAAATGGGTACTGGGGGAAATAGACAAAAGGGTATACCGGGAGGAGGAGGCCCATTGCAGAAGGATTCTTCACAAGGCTAAGGCGGAGACTTGCCAAGAATTACAAGAGCAAAAAAAAGGGCTTCTCTCAGCATGTAAATAGGAAGAGGAAGGGGAGACAAGTGGTGGGACCACTAAATAAGGAGGAAGGAGATCCAGTGACTGATATGAGGGAACAGGCACAGATGCTAAATGACTATTTTGCCTCTGTGTTCTCCCCAAAGCAGGATGGGGGAGATCCTCATAGGAGATTAGATGAGGCCGGGGACTTAGGGGCACAGATAAGAGTCACCCCCCCTAGAAATCGAGGGGCTTCTCAGAGCATTCGACATTACAAAGGCGCCAGACCCTGACGGGTTACACCTGAGAGTACTTAGAGAGTTGGCACGGGTTCTCTCATGCCTGCTGGCCTCCATTCTTGAGGCCTCATGGAGAACGGGTGAAGTTCCAGAGGACTGGAGGGTGGCATCAGTGGTCCCAATTTTCAAAAAGTGTAGGAGAAGGGACATGAGGAATTACAGACCAGTTAGCCTTACGTCCATTGTAGGAAAAACAATGGAAAGGCTCATAATAGAGAGAGATCTAGTGATGCTGGATAGGGAAGGGGGGCTGACAGCCACACAACACAGCTTCTGCAAAAACAGGTCCTGCCAGACAAACCTTGTGAAATTCTATGACAAGGTTTCGAGATGGCTAGATGGAGGGGATGCAGTGGATGTGGTTTACCTGGATTTCAGCAAGGCCTTTGACAAAGTGCCCCATGATAGATGGAGGGGATGCAGTGGATGTGGTATACCTGGATTTCGGCAAGGCCTTTGACAAATGCCCCATGATATCCTGGTGGAGAAACTGAGGAGTTTTGGGATACACCAAAGCACTCTCCGGGGGATTAGGGCATGGTTCACTGACCAAAAGCGGAGGGTAACCATTAGTGGGGAATCATCGGGATGGCGGCCAGTGGCAAGCGGAGTACCCCAGGGCTCTGTCCTGGGGCTGATCCTGGTTAATCTTTTCATCAATGACATGGAAGAAGGGGTGAACAGTCTGCTGATCAAATTTACAGACGATACTATAACTGGAGCAGTGGCCACAACTGAGGAGCAAGTACTCCAGATCCCAAAGGATCTGGACAGACTTTGGAAGTGAGCAGGAGGCAACAGGATGGTGTGCAATGTGGATAAGGGTGAGGTCTTGCACTTGGGGCATAGGAATAGGTGTCATAAGTACAGGTTAGGGGACAAATGGCTTGAGAAAGGGACCTCGGGGTACTGGTTGACTGCAGGTTAAACATGAGTCAGCAGTGTGATGCAGTGGTCAAGAGGGCGAACCCCCCCCCCCCCCGCCCTTGGTTGCATAGCCAGAAGTGTGGCTTCTAGATGGAGAGAGGTATTACTACCACTCTATACGACTCTGGTGTGCCCGCAACTGGAGTATTGTGCTCAGTTTTGGACCCCTCATTAGAGAAAGGATATAGCCAAGTTAGAGTCAGTGCAGCATAGGGCCACAAGGCTTGTGGCTGGTTTGCAGGGGATGGGGTATGAGGCGAGACTGAGGGATCTGGGTCTCTTCAGCCTGGAGAAGAGGAGACTCAGAGGGGATATGTTGGCAACATACAGGTATGTGAGGGGATGTCACACGGAGGTGGATAGAGACCTTTTCTCCCCTGCAGAGGAAGGCAGGGGTGAGCATGTCCTGAGCGGAGCCGGCTAGAGTCGGAGGTCAGACTAGATGGTCCAGGAGGCCCCTTATGACTCGCTCTGTTTCTATATTTCTATGTGTCTAATTCCAGAATTTGCATCAGGAATTTAAGTTTAGTAAAAGAGTCAGAGTTCAGAAGAATGTTTTGAGTCAGAATTTTTTAATGCAAGATGTGGAATCCAACATACTTAGGTTTAACTCTTCAGTCATTTCTGTGCAAGTGGAATTATTCTGATTAAACTGGCTAAAAGTTGAAGTAGGAAGCTTATCAACCCCACAGGCCACAAATGTTTTCTTAAAGCAAACAACCATTTAAATTTAATATTAAATGCATTGACTCAATTCAGTACAGTCGTGTAATCTAAAGATTGTCATCACTCATGCATGACATACATCCCTGTTTCTTGTTTAATGCCAATAATAGCTTGCCATGACGTCCAATTGGTAATTTGGTTTATTTATTTATTAAAAGCTTTTACATGCTGTCCTATTATATAAAAATCTCAGGAAAGCGTACAGTGTTTAAAAGAACAATTAAAACCACAACAATTTCTAATAAATAAATTAAAAAAGAATAATATATAAGACAAAACAGTAAATCACAAAACAAGAGTGACTGAACATTAAAAGTTGTTGATTTTAAAATACTATTTAAATAAAAAGGTTTTGACCTGGTGCTGAAAAGAGTATAAGCTTGGCTCTAGGCATACCTCTCTAGAAAGTACAGAGTCTGGGCGTCACAGCAGAGGAAGCCCTACTCCCAGTTGATGACATTTTTACCTCTCTTAGAGAGGGTTCTCAGAGCAGGGCTTCTCCCACAAATCTTAAGGGCTGTGAGGGCATATAAGGAAGGAGACATTCCTTCAGATATCCTGGTCCCATGCCATTTAGGACTTTATAGGGCTTTATAGCACCTTGAATTGTGCCTGGACTTCAATTGGAAGCCAGTAGAGCTGGTAGAGGACCAGCGTTATGTGAGAGTAATGGCCGGTCCCTGTCAGCAGCCTGGCAGCTTTATTTGGTACCAGCTGAAGTATCCGGACCATTTTCAAGGGCAGCCCCACATAGAGGGCATTGCAGTAATCCAAGCGGGAAGTTTAGAACTTGCTGTCAAACCCAGAACCAATGTCCAAGTTAATTATGTAAGTTTGGTAAGTCCTGGGCTGTTTAATTATGGAGACTAATGGGAATATTGAAAATGCTATGTTGGATCTAAACTTGATCATACTTAGAGTAGAGCCATTGACATCAATGGAACTTACATTAGTCTAGATTCAATCCAGTCTCTTTAATTTAGCCATTGGTATTCAAGATTTAGTAGCTTACACTTACCTTGTAAGCCTGGATTAAACTTAATAACCTGATTCACATAATCACCACAGTTCTCTATGGCCGAAGAAATGAGGCCTTTGAATTGTGGTGCTGGAGGAGACTCCTGCGAGTCCCTTGGACCGCAAGGTGATCAAAGTGGTCAGTCCTAGAGGAGATCAACCCTGACTGCTCTTTAGAAGGCCAGATCCTGAAGATGAAACTCAAATACTTTGGCCACCTAATGCGAAGGAAGGACTCCCTGGAGAAGAGCTTAATGCTGGGAACAATAGATGGCAAAAGAAGAAGGGGACGGCAGAGAATGAGGTGGCTAGATGGAGTCACTGAAGCAGCTGGTGTGGACTCTGGGGGATGGCAGAGGACAGGAAGGCCTGGAGGAATGTTGTCTATGGGGTCACAATGGGTCGGACACGACTTCGCAACTAACAACAACTATGGGTTGGGCCATAGTAAGACACACTGCCCATGGGTGCCAGGTTGCCTATTCAAGCCCCAGTGGCAGGTTTCATCTGTTTGATAAATAAATGTCATTGTCTACTGTAGCATTGTTTCTGGTTTGTTTTAACCCTCAAGCAAGCCCTGCCATGCCACAGCATTCCATAGCAATCTATCACCAGGAGATGAATACTAGAAATGGTTGCTGGTATGCTCACCATGGGTTAAAGAAGGCATATTGAGCTGTGGCAATTGCGTGAATTGACCCATTGCTTCCTGTATGATTGTTAATCCTCAGGCGGGACTTTGAAATATATGAAGCAGGCATCAGACTAGCATGGTATACTATGCCAAATAAAATAATCTTATGGTGTTTTCCTATTTTAAAATGTATATTTTTTCAATTATTTGAAAGCAGGTCCCCAGTGGTATCCATCTCGCATAGGCCTCCGACTAGAATGCAGTAAGTATTTATTTTTCTTGCCATCATATTCTAAAGTATCAGGATTTTGAAAGGAAAGAATGGTTTCTTAAATTAGCTTTGTATTAAGTGTCAGTGTTTCTTTTTAATTAAGATTTTATTAAGATTTTAAACTAAAAACTAAAAAACATCAGTCATCAAATACATTGGACGTACTGGGTCAGCCCCCTATAACATATCTTTTTAACATTCTGTAATCATATTAAATCGATTTATAAACATTTAAAAACATCTTTAAATCTAAACCAAGTCCCGTTTCTCCAGCCAATCATAAAAAAGTCCCAAGTTTGATAGAAGACAGTATCTTCTTTCTCCTTCAGTAATAGTGTCAATCTGTCCATTTCTGCACAGTCCAGAATCCTTTTTAAAATCAGTTCCTCTGTGGGTAGTTCCTCACTCTTCCAGTATTAAGCAAGCGCAATCCTCACCGCTGTGATTAAATGTAGCATCAAACACATTTCTTGTTTGCTAATATTTTCCGGTATGACGCCTAACAAAAAAATTTCAGGTTTAAAAGCTAAGGGTTTTGTAGCATTTCCTCAAGCCATTTATGTATTTTAATCCAATACTTTTTCACACATTCACAGGTCCACCACATATGGTAAAAAGTACCCACATCATGTTTACATTTCCAACATCCGTTTGACATATTTGGAAACATCTTAGCTAATCGACTTGGCGACAAATACCATCTATAAAACATTTTATATAAATTTTCTTTATACGAAGTTGCTAAAGTTACCTTAATATTTCTCTCCCATAGCTTTTGCCACTTTTCTAATTCAATATTATATCCAAAATTTTGTGCCCACGTTATCATAGTTTTCTTAACCTGTTCCCCTTCCATTTTCCTGTCAAGTAAGAACTCATAAATTCTTTTAATCATTTCCTCACCTGTTTAGCATCACTTGATCAAAGGTCTTTATAAAACCCCCATATTTTACAGGCTTTAGCATATCTTGATTGCATCTGCACCTTATACCACCAGGAGATATTAAGTCCCTGTTCTTGTATTTCTTGATCTAGTTTCAAGCCTCCATCCTTATCCAAAGTATCATCATATCTTATGATCCCTTCAAAATTCAATACATTTGGCTACACAAAAGCTTCCATAGGTGAAAGCCATCTTGGTAATTTATTATACAATTTTGACTGTAACTTTTCCCACATTGACATTAATGATCTTCTGATAAAGTGACTTTAAAAACTCCTATGAGACTTAACCTTCTCATACCACATACAAGCATGCCAACCCATTTGCAAATCATGACCTTCAAGATACAAAATTCTCTTATTTCTCAAGGTTATCCATTCTTTTAGCCAAGTTAAAATAGACACTTGATAGTACAACATCCAATCAGGAAGACCAAAACTCCTGTTCTTTTTGGTTTCCTGAAGCATTTTTAATTTAATCCTTGTTTTCTTTTTTCTTCAAATAAATCTCAAAATTTGAAACTTTAAATCCTCAAAAATTTTTTTATCAATTTTTACAGGAATCATTTGGAACAAAAACAAAAGTTTTGGTAGTATATTCATTTTAACAAGTGCTATTCTTCCCATCAAAGACAGTTGTAAATTGGCCCATTTTTCCAGATCACCTTTAATATCCTTCAATAATTTATCATAATTGTCTTCTTTCAAAGTTGTGCATTTAGCTGTAAGATAGATTCCCAAGTATTTAACCTTTTTAACAATCTGCAAATCCACTTGTTCTTGGAGTCTTTTTTTCTGATCTTGCATAAGATTTTCAACTAAAAGTTTCATTTTTTCTTTATTTATTGTCATCCCCATAACCTTACCATATTCTTCAATCCATTGTACAAGTTTAGAGATTGTTACAAAAGGTTCCCCTATTATAAAAACCAAATCATCTGCAAATGCTTGCAATTTATAATTTTCATCCCTAATTTTAGTACCTTTAATGTTTTCATCATCCCTGACATTTCTATTCAAGACCTCTAAAGTCAGAATGAACAATAGGGTTGACAACGAGCATCCTTGCCTTGTACCCTTTTGTATCTCTATAGCCCTTGTAAGTTCTCCATTAATTAAAATCCTGGTCGATTGTCTTTGATAAATGCTTGCTATCGCATTCATGAATTTTCCCCCAAACTCCATTTGAGCCATCTGTTGCTTCATGAATTGCCAGTTGACATTATCAAAGGCTTTCTGGGCATCCAAAAACAGTAGGGCCACTGATTTTTCCGTGTGTGTCTCATAGTATTCTAGAATATCCAAGATACTCCTCAGGTTGTTCTTCATTTGTCTTTTAGGCAGGAAACCATTTTGGTCTGGATGAATAAAGTCTATTAAAAACTTCTTCAACCTTTCTGCCAATATAGAGGCAAAAATAGTCCACATTTAGTAATGATATAGGTCTGTAATTTTGAATCTGTGTTAAGTCCATATCTTCTTTCGGTATTAATGTGATATTTGCCTCTGTCCAAGTATCTGGTATTTTAGCATTTAACAATGCTTCATTACAAACATCTTTAAGAAATGTAACAAAAGCTCCCTCAAAAGATTTGTAAAATTCAGCTGGGAGCCCATCCGGACCAGGGGTTTTATCATTCTTTTGTCGCATGATTGCCTCTGTTATTTCCATAGTTGTTACTTCTTGATTCAATAATTTTTGATACTTTTCTGGTAGTTTTGGTAAATCTCCCTTTTGAATGTATTCTTTTACCTTCTCGTCATAATCTTCTCCTTCTGGTATAACCTTGCAAAAAAGTATTCAGCTATTTTCTTAATTTGTGTATTTTGTACCTGTAGTCATCCTTCTCCATCTTTCAGTTTCGAAATCAGTCTCTTCTCTCTTTCTTTGTTTACTTTATATGCTAGCCATCTCCCTGGTTTGTTAGCATTTTCAAAAAAGTTCTGTTTATTCAGTTTCATTTGCTTAGTAAGTTCATTTGTATCCAAGATATTCAATTTGTGCTTTAAAGTATTCATTTGGACCCTAAGATTTCTTTTTGTTGGATCCTCCTGCAGCTCTTGTTCCTGTTTCCTCAGTTCTTCTACTAATGTTGCTCGCTCTTGCTTTTTCTTTTTCTTTATTTTTGCTGAGTAGGTTCTTATCAGTCCCCTGACATAGGCTTTAGCTGTATCCCAGACATTCTTTAAAGAAGTTTCTTCCACTTTGTTTATTTGAAAGAATATTTGCATTTCTTTGCTTATCTCTTCTGTAATTTTTTTATCTTTTAGTAATGCTTTATCTAGACTCCATCTGGGCGTCCTTGCAGCTCCTTTCAGTGATATAAATACAGTATTATGATCTGCCCAGGCATTTGTCTCCATTTCAGCTTCTATCAAATCTGGAACTAAGTCTGGAGTTATCCAAACCATATCAATTCTAGACCATGACCTATGTCTGTTTGAATAAAAAGAATAATTGGCAGCAGTTGGGTTTTTATGCCTCCAGACATCTATCAATCTGAGTTCTTCAATCATATTGGAACAAGACTTTGGAAGCATCCTCCTACCATTTTTTCCCTTACTTTCACTCTTGTGATCGATTTCCTTATTCACAATTGCATTAAAATCACACATTACACACATAGTCTGATAGTCCACTTGTAAGAGTAACGTATGTAGTTTTTGGTAAAAAGTTTCCTGATGGTCATTTGGTGCATATATTGCCACTAAGAGCACCTTTTTAAGTTTAATTGTAATTTCTACCATCAAGATCCTACCATCCTCATCAGAAAGAATATATTTAGGGTCCAATTTTATTTTAACATATAGTGCTAAACCTCTTTTCTTTTACGATGCAGAAGATACGAACAATTTTCCCAGTTTTAAACATTCTAGAAGTTTAACACATTGTTTCTTAATATGTGTTTCTTGTAGACAAATTATTTCTAACTTTTGTTTTTGAAGTTAAGCAAAAAACCTTCTTCTCTTAGATGGTCCATTTAGTCCATTAATATTTAAGGAGAGCAATTCAATTTTCCCTTCCTTTTTTAAGAGCCATATTTAATAAAATTATCTACTTATTCTTTGCCTTTACAGTTCTACTTTTTTTTTCTCCTTTGAGTCCAAAGTCTGTATTTCTTGTTGTGAATCTACCTTCAGTATTTCTCCTTCTTCAGAATGATACGCTGTTGTTTCCATTGCTTCAGCACCTTTTTCTCCTTCTTTAGAGATGACAGGTTCCTCCTCTTCCAACATGGCTCTAAATTTTTCATAGAACTCTTGTGCCTTAAGAACTGAATCCAATTTATATCTTACAGAGTTTCATGTGAAGAATATTCCTTCTGGTATTAGCCACTTAAAGACAATCTCTTTCTTGATCAATTTTGTAGTAAGAAATAGATATTTCTATCGTCCCTCTCTAATCCTCCATGGTATCTGTTTCAGGGTCACCTCCTGACTATCATCTCTCTTTAACGGCTTCTCCCATACGGCCTTCAAAACATTGTCTCTTATGGACCTTAGAGCAAATTTGACATGAACTTCTTTCGGAAGTTTATTTTTTCTGGTATAAGAGGAACTGACCCTAAAAACAAGGTCAATTCCCATACCCATGACCTCATTCTCGATTTCGAAAAGCTCCGCCAATATATCACTTATAAGCTCTTGTAGGTCTTCATTTTTCTCTTCAGGTATATTCTGAAATCTTAAATAGTAACATGCCTTCTCCATCTCTAATGCAGCCGTTGAGTCCCATGCTGACTTATTTGTTTGCTTAATTAAATGTATTTCTTTATCTACTATCTCCAATTTTTCACATACTTGTTGCATTTTTTGTGTATTCTGTTCCACTTTAAGTCGAACATCAGATAGTTGAGTTGTCACCTCTTTAATAGAGTTATCCAATTTGTCATGTTGCTCTTCTTGTTCATTTGATAAGCTTTCCAGCTGTGTTGACATCGCCTCTTGAGATGCTTGCAAAGTTGTTAAAGAGGTTGTTGCAAAGTTGTTAAACCTCTTAGCGCCTGTATCGCCAAGGTCATCATTTGCAACTCATTAAGCTTTTTGCA